GAAGAGAAGGCTCCAGGGAGACCTTACTGAGGCCTTTCAATATATAAAGGGACTTATTAGAAAGATGGAGAAAGACGTTTTACCAAGGTCTGTAGTGACAGGACAAGGAGCAACCATTTTAAACTGAAAGACTATAGATTTAGATTAGATATAAGGAAGAAATTTTTTACCATGAGGGTGGTAAGACACTGTAATAGGTTGCCCAGAGAAGTTGTGCATGTCCCATCGTTGGAAGTGTTCAAGGTCGGGTTGGATGGGGCTTTGAGCAACTTGATCTGGTGAAAGATGACCTTGCCCACAGCAGGGGGGTTTGGAACTAGATGATCTTTAAAGGTCCATTCCAACCTAAACCATTCTATGATTTTGTGATTCTAAGATATACAATATGCATGGATCAAATAGATACGTGATCGAAACTGCGCATGCATCCAAGAACATCCAAGAACAAGAGATTGGAAAATCTTACGCCTCAGCAGGCACACACTCCCCTGCCTCCACAACGTGTAGGCAGCACATACGCACATAAATCAACAGTGCATGGCCCATGTCCTTAGATCCAGGTAGAAGTATGGATAGTGAATGAACATATAGATACCTTAGATTTGAATTAGGTGTTCACATATAGGCATCCAGTTACTTTTGAGATGTCCAAGGGCAGCTGGGACATCCATGGAAAACTGTCAGATGTTACTCGTGGCTCATGGGATATTCTCAGACATCTCAAATGGCACAAAATCCTACATTTAGGCAACTGAATCAAAAAAAACCCACCACTGGTTGATATGTTTTGAGTGACCTTAGCATGGGGAAAAGAGTCAATCCACACCATTTTGCCTGAAGTCTAGCTGACAATGTGCTTTTAGAAGTGCTATATGTTTCATCCAAAGATTTGTTGCTTTTTTTTTCTTCAGAGCAGAGTGCCAGGAAGGTGTTGGACTAAAATAACTTTCCTGCACAGATTCTCAGGACTGCATGGGCTGAAAGCAAAGCTCAAAGACTTCCCAAGTGGATACTGTTTAGGTGGCCCTGATGTCCTTTCCAGAGCTGGATTTAGAGGACATGACTGTTAAATGTTTACCATAGATATGATCTTGCCAGAACAGATGAATAAGAAAGTGGCGATCACACAGTGCATAACTGAAGTCTACTTTTTCATAAGAACTGTTCTTCCCAATGAAACTAGAAGCAGCCAGATGGCAATATCTTAGGGGAGCTTATGAGAGCTCTCTTGAAAGATACTTCCAAAAAGTATGCTCAAAGATGAAAAAAAATCTGCCAAAAAAAAAAAAATCAGAATAAAATCAGAATAAAATAGGGCTAGAGGAAGCTAAATAGAAAAAAAAAAAAAGCATGCAGAAATCAGTAAATTCTCCAATTCAGCTCAGCTGCACAACCAGAAACAGAAATGTGTAGTACATACACATCCTATTTATGTTCACACAGACAAGCCTATGAAATATGTGCTTATGCTTCTGGATATCTCTAAGCAAAAAATCCTCCAGTGTCCAGCATCTGGAGGCATATAAACATCCATAATGCAAATGTATATAAAAACAAGCACTGGAAAAATAACGTCAGCTGTGTTTTTGCGCTACAAATCTAAGTAAAAAAACTATCAGAAAACAGACTTCAAAGATTTTTCCCGTTACTTTATTCCAGGATTCTTACTATTTAATTACCGTTTTTATTTTTGTTCAGTATTGATAAAATACCACACATAAAGTAGCTACAAAAAGCTTTCAAAGCATCTCAATCAAACGCAAAGCTCACAATACTATGGAGCTATTCTGAAATATAAAACCAGCCTACACTGCACAGCATTACAAAGAGATGGTACCTTTTTTCTACTTCCCTGGCTGCACCATCTTGTCCTGTGTTCACATCTCCCCTTGGCCAACGGCCAGCGCTCAGTATCTTTGAAGAAACACTCAACAGTCCATCGTAACTATCCTCGGTGTACTGGAACTGTGAGTGCCTTGGGAAAGAGAAGTTGTGCTGCACATCCCTATTCTACATAAATAATCTAATTATTTAATACCCAGGCCATTAAACAGAGTGGACAATAATTACCAGACAGGTCTTGGACCATATATGCTTATAAAAATTACAGATAGTGCAGGCAAACGATGAAAGGACAAAATAAAGAGTGCAGAAGTATTAGGAAGTAATGGATCATTTGGATAAAGAAGACAGGCATCCCTGATCCTTCCAGAGATGAAGTTTCTCATTGTTGCATTTTGCAGGAGTTCTGGGTATCTATGCATCACTTAATGCTAAAGGCATGGTGGCCTTTTTTTTGTTCTAGATATTTTTAAGTTTCTATACACTAAACATTTGCACTCAGGAGCATGCCTACTGCTATACGTTCCCACTGGAAATCCTCCCTAATCTAGATGTTTTCTTCAGCATTTATAAGACAATCTCTTATTAGTTCAGTATTGTCTATAAAATACCACCTTAAAACATCTCTTTTCACATTTTTTGCTATTTCCAGAAAGCTTCTGCTTTTTCGGGTGCCTTGCAGCACTCCTCCACAGTTGCTAAAGTGTCCATTATTTGTGCCGCTGAACTTTTTAGACTCTTTCTATCAAGCCTATGTGACAGATTGTCAGTGAGAACAGTATATCAACTTCAGCATTTGGCATAAAAAGTGTTAACAAGAAAATAAACCAAAAGAAAACCTCCAAGCTGTTCTCCACCAGCGAGTACAGGAAAGCAAGAATTTGCTTTAACAGCAACATTAGTCAGTTGGCTGCCAGTGGTTCTATGTTTTAGATCACAGAAATAAACTGTATTGGGTTATTAGTACTGTAGAAGGATTAGTATAAGAGCGCAATGAAAAATAAATGCAAGGGTTTGGCATGGAAACGATAGGGTGCTGTGCATGGAACTGTATAAAAATTTAACAAATTATTAATAATAACGCAAATGAGAAATTTAGAATTCTCCATACAACCTCTTGGTTATATGGAAAGAAAAGAAAGAATGTGAGCTTTCTGATTTTTGCTCATACTCGGATACAGACAAAAGTAAAATCAAAACTCATGCTTTTTCTAAGGAACACATTTGCGTAATTTGAAACAGAACTCATTTCCTGAAGAAGTATTTTTTTCTTTTTCCTCAGAATATTTGTACTTACATTAACTCATTAATTAGTAGGAGGTAACAATGGGATGGGCATACCATAGATTTCATTACAGTTTAGGATGCAAGGCCACTGCCAGGGTTGACTAAATACCAAAACTCTTTGGTCGCTGCAGTCACTCATCTTACTCTTCATTGTCACTCATAATCTGACAGGATTCTACACACAATCCTTAAAAACCAAAGAGAAAGACTTACCTGAACAGACCTCTTTGTAGGTAGGATTTGGAGTATACCCTCCTGCGTAACCCACTTGAGTGGAGTAGACTCCCTTCTGACTCCAAAACTTCCTCTCGGCTCCCCAGAAACAGCCCATACCTGGATATTGCATGAAGTACATATCGTTATGTCAAAATCTGCTCGTTACTAAATCGCTCATTCGCACATTAATTGATAGAGTCCATAGTGGAAGTAACATCTCTAGCCAGCACGTGATGGTCAAATGTTTCCCAAGATTATGCATAGAGTAATTATGCTGAGAAATCCATTCTGCATCAGAGCACAACTTGAATAAAGCTTTACTTATGCTTCTGAATATTAACGTATCACAGAGGACAAACCCTATAAGGGTTCAAAGGCTCAAACAAGGAGAATTCTCATGCACATTAAAAAAAAACGTTACTTAAATGGCAATTGCACTATTTGTACAGCACCATTTTTACCTTAGTTGATTAGCAAGCTGTCAAAACATAATAATTTGTATTAATGGCAAACAGTTATTTAATTTTCTGCTTTCAGACATATGCAGTCTTTAAAGGGGGCAGTAATAATGGATTAAATTATATGCTATACAGGAGGAAAAATGCTTTAGTTTAACAATTTATGCACGCAGGTATTTGATGTTCAGACAAAATTTTGGTAGTCGTTCACCCCCATGGCCAATTATCAAAGGACATCAGACTGTCAACAGGTGTGAATTAGCAAAACTCTCCTGGTAATAGGAATCAAGCACACGGTATGAAAGCCAGGGGGAAGGAACAAACAGGACTAACATACACAATTCTCTGATGGCTTAACTAGTTAAGAGATGTTAGCTACAATTTGGAGGACTCTCTAAAGCTGAAATACGTCATGTACACTCTAGTATTGTCCTGGTTTCAGCAGGGATAGAGTTAGTTTTCTTCCTGGTAGCTGGTACAGTGCTGTGGTTTGGATTTAGGACGAGAACAATGTTAACAACACACTCATGTTGTAGTTGTTGCTGAGCAGTGCTTACACTAGTCAAGGACTTTTCAGCCTCCCATGCTCTACCGACTGAGCAGGCTGGAGGGGCACAAGAAGCTGGGAGGGGGCACAGCCAGGACAGCTGACCCCAACTGGCCAAAGGGACATTCCATACCATGGGACGTCATGCTCAGTATATAAACTGGGGGAAGCTGGCCGGGGGGGCCGCTGCTCAGGGACTGGCTGGGCATCGGTCGGCGGGTGGTGAGCAATTGCATTGTGCATCACTTGCTTTGTATAGTAGTAGTAGTAGTAGATTATTGTTATTATTATTATTTTATTTCAATTATTAAACTGTTTTTATCTCAACCCACGAGTTTTTCTCACTTGTGCTCTTCCAGTTCTCTCCCCATCCCACCGGGGGCCGGGGGGGAGTGAGCGAGCGGCTGGGTGGTGCTCAGTTGCTGACTGAGGTTAAACTACAACAAGTATTATTTAGCTTATCCCTGATTCTGGGCGATGTATTTTCTCTTTCAGTGATAACATACTTCCTTTTATTATTCCCTTACTAAAACATTTGAAATAAAAGGCAGTAAAAAATAAGCTAAATATTAAATACACTTAGAAATCAATGATCCAGGATGGGTTTTCTACTGATAACACTGCAGATAGGACGGGTTAAAAAATTACAGAAATGTTCCTTCAAAGTACAACTAGAAGAACAAAGCAGTCCCTTCTATCAACTCTGATGGCTCACAAAGGCATATTCTTTCTTGAAAACTTCAGAGATTAACTTCAAATTAAAGTTGTAATGCACCAAAAATTACAGAAGTAATGACCCAGATTTCTCCTTCTAATTCAGATGCTCAAGCAAGTCACATGAATTAGGAGCCTAGCCTGCTCCTGGAGACCATGGAAAGAGGCAGGCATCTCCTGAGGAGAATTCAGCCCACAGAAGTTATAAATTGCTGATCAAATGACAGTCATTCTCCCTTGACTACAGACATAGCTATGGCTATTAGAGTTGGCTTTCTCAGCTAAATTAGGCTGGTGGCAAACTGCTGTAGGACCTCTCTTGAAATTCCCTCCCAGTTTTGCAGAAACAACAATCAAGAATTCTTATCTGAGAAATTTTTCAGGCACTCACACATCACCTATCTAATGGTGATTTAAACTAGAGTGTATTTCTGTACCCGATGTCACTATTTTATCTCAATTAAGTCCGAGAAGTTCTCCAGTAATTATGCCCCTAGGTCAAGTCAATTGATATAGGCTGAGACAGTTTTTACACATCACTCTGCCTGTGTTGCACAGTACAAACGGCAGCTGTGGTCCCGTCATTGCCCAAATCAAGAGCGAAACTAGAGAACATCAGCAAGCCCTGACGCTCAGGTTTCCTTCCCAGAGAAGTCAGAGCACGTGTAAGGGGGACAGTGCATGCCCGTGTCTCATCCCAACAGTCGGGTCACAGCTGAGAGGGAGCCTGGAGCAGTGAACTGGGAAGTGCTCCTTGGTCCATTGTGAAGACAGACTTTGAACACATAGTTTAGACACAGCCTTTGAGTCTTTAACCAAATAATTGCTTTAGAAGTGTATTTTAATCCATGTTTCTCATACGCACATGTAAAACTGCAAGTGAACACAGGTATGTCTGCAAGTTCCTTGTAAAAATACCACAGGCATCCTGCCAAAATTCTTGTCGCAGTACATTGGAGTGATGTGAAGCATGTAGGCAATACTCATTAACAATACTTTAACATGGAGGGTATGCAAATTCTTGACTTTTTTACACTGAACAGGCATATGGTTACACAGTTCAGAAGCAAACACAAGCATACGCTTGGGGTAGGAGGGCAAATTTCTGTTCAAATAAAACCCTTGAGCTTCATCATTCCTGTCTGCAGTTCTTTACTCCTCATCCCAGCCTTACAGATGTAGCTAAATCTTGACTACGTCTTCATACCGCTTTATCCATGAGGACATTTTGGAAGCATTACAGAATTAGACTGTGATGAAGAATCTATTTGAAAAGTGCATCTGATTTTGCTAAAGCCAACACAGAAGAGATTTAGAAATCTTGACTGGGACAATTGTTTAATTATGTGAAAGGCCTATTGTATATCAAGTCTATCAGGGGTTCCAAAAAAAGGTATTTCCATTCCATTGCGAAATAGTGAAAAGTTAGGAGCACAGCTTTTCCATGGCCATCCAGTCAGCTCTAACAGACTTTGTTCCTTCTGATAATCATAATTTACTCTGTCAACAAAAGAAAATGTTGTATTTAGATATGCAACCCCAAAAGAGGACAGAGGCAGATCCATTTAAATCTCATCTATCTTAAATTTAGATATTTAACTACACACACTGCCCTGCTATTCTGTTGGTTTTTTTTTTAGGACTGTCTAAACTTGGTCATCTCAGAATTCATTAGGTTCTTCTCTACTTCCCATGACAGTGTTCACCCAAACATGTTGTCCTGAAAAAACAGGCACCTTTCAGTAGTTCTCTGGTGGTTGGATTTAGGCGGAGAGCAGAAGAGGGCATCGGAACTCACATAGAAGTGGGCAGGCTTAGGCTGTAACAGACTGCTTCCAAGGGCACTTTTAATTTGTTTCGTGGGTTGTTTGCTAGAACCTAAGTCTGTACCTGTATCCGAAGCACTGAAAATAAACTTCAGCCCAAAACTAATACCTCAGTGCTGTGCATCCTTAATATTACAAGGGAGGTTTGAGCTGCCTAAAATCCCAGCTGCTTTTGCAGGTGATGCTGAGACCCTTGCAGGAAGGACTCTGTAGCCAATTTATCAAACCAGCATCGGTTGGACAAGCATGCTGAGATGTGGTGAATGAGCTATTTCATCTATGCCAAGGAAAAGTACAGACCCAAAATTTTCCCCACAATATATTCCTAGGCCCACACCTGAGTGCAAAGGAGTAACCCAAAATTAAGAACACAACCCAAATTAAGGTTTGAGTTCAGATATAGGCCCAACTTCAAATACAAAGTAGAAATGCTTGTTCTTTTCCTATTTAGTTAAAGAATTTTAATGCTCAATAAACCCCTAACTGCACTGTCTGAAATTACTGATCATCAGGGTAGTGGTCACTGACTCTCCTTGATCAATAACTATTATTTAGGATTCATTGATAGCCCTCTCTGACCTGTTGATTTGACCTAGGGACCTACACCCTCATCATGGTTTCCTTCACTTTTTCTTCTCTGTTAACCAGTCTATGTCTGAATTCATCCTGCCCGCCTTCCTCTGAGAGACAGACATTTTATTCTCTTGGTGAACTATTCTCATCATTTCTCAAGTGCGCTGGCACCTTGCGCGAACAATAAATCCTCACATCCATGAGAACAGATAAAATTGAAATCTTTGTCATAATAAAACAACCTGCTAGTAAAGGGACATAATTTATAACAATACAATACTAAATTGCTTTCCACAGTATTAATACATTCAGCGGTTGATGTTTGTTATTCTGCTAAAGTAGTGCCACGTTCTACAGAGAAACTGTCACAAGGAGAGAAATATTAACTACAAAACCCCACGTAATATTCCGGAGTTAAGACATATCAGCTCATGGAATGCCTGTTCTTCAGAGCACTGGCTGCCTTAAGCCGTGTTTAACATGAACAACGATTACTAAAATAGGGAAATAATCTCAGTTCAAGAGTTCACTTGCTCTTGTAGTACAAAAAAGTTTACTTTCCCTAATACTCTGGTAAGAAAACTGAAGAAATAAATGATTAAAATAATTAAGTTAAATTAAATAATTAACTAAAACTCAGAGGGAAAAAACAGTAAAAAACAGTAGGAAAAGAGACATAAAAGCAAAATAAGCCACCCGTATTATAATTTGAAACTAGAAAACATGACTGTGATTTTAAACTACTCATGAAATAATTTGCATAATCCCCAGTACTGGTGAAGTGAGTGCAGCTTTAGAGTTAGATAGAGAGCTTCCAGAGGCATTCCTAAGAGAAAGAAAAAATCCCAAAATACTGGGGAACGTACTCAGGTTCCCAGAAAAATTATTATTTGAACATAATGGGTATTGCAGAAGAGTGTTTAAGCATTAAAGATATTTGTCACTTTTTAATTGCTAATTTGTAAAACAAAAACTATTCTTTTAGTGATGGGTTTTGACTGACTCTTAATTG